GCACCTACTTAACTATAATTTAGTTGTTATAACTTATTCTATGTTAGCAAAATAATCTTCCACGTCTTCTTTTGCAAGGTTTTTGAAGTCTTCAGTGATATCATCGATCATTTTATTTTGAACAAAATGCAAACTTGAATGCCACTGTTGGAATCGTAAATGTTAATAAACGTCGTGCCATTCTTGATATTGTTGGATACAATCTTTCATTTGTTTTCCACCAATTCAGGGTATCTAAATTTAATATTTCATCCGCTGAAATTAAATTGAGTGATCAAATTGATACTACTTTTCTAATTTAGTAAGTATAATAATGTTAGTGCTAATGTTAGAATTATACGCATTTTGACCCTTCTTAGCTATCTCGGAATAAAAAGAAGCTTTACATTTAGAAGTTGTAGTAGAGCTCACAGATGAACAAACACTTTCATAATTTACATATTATTTAAATAGGAATTATACAATTCATTAATAAAACATTTTAATTCTCAATTTGCAATTTTTACATTAAAAACTTAAACTTTTTTGAAAGTTTTTCCATAGCACATTGAACTCCAAATAATTTAACACGAGAATTCATCACAGCTGACACGTTTTAAAAATAGTTTCGATATTTTTCTTCTATCGTATAAGCAATTTCAGAAAAATAAAATAAAATAAATTCATTGTACTTGTAGATCAAAAATTGCTTACCAATGTCTACTAGTAGTTTAATTACCACAAAAAAAGAAAAAAAATATAAAATCATTGTACTTGTAGAAAGATTTAAAAAAATTTCATGACCTTAAATGTAGTTTGTTGACCCCAAAAAGTGTGCCAACAGATGTCGGTCTCACCCACGCTTACGTGGGCGAATGTCCAACACGCTAAGACATGTGGACGATCTAAAACGAGCTGTTTAAAGGGGCATGGGAGTAGCCTAACGACGTGGGATGGTGACGTTCGAAATCCGGCGGGTTGTTCATAATCCGGTTGTACAATAATTACCAACCGGTGCTCGTAAATGTATATGTAAAAGTGTATAAACTCGATGTGTGTATTGCAAGTAACTGAGATAGAGTTGAGTAAATGTAGTCTTTAGTATTGATTCTTACATTAGCCGTTGACATTATACAATGGAAGTATTTATAGTGATACACATGAAATGGGAGCCCTTGGATGAAGTGGCACGTGACCTCATCTCTTTAGTTCAAACGTCTTTTCTTAGGTATGGGGCTTGACTTGCTAGCTTACGGCGTATTTATTGCTTGCGCAGGTCCTCCATACTAGTGACAAGATTTGACCTTTATGCTTGTGATAAACGTTCCATCAGTCATTCGAATAAGATCTCTGAGCAGGCGATCTCTTGGGAGGAGTGACTGTGGAGGAAGCTCCTTGTGGTTAAGAGACTCGTGTATCAGTTTCGGGGCTTCGACCATTTGACAAATACTTCCACTTGAGGACCTCAGCTAAATTCAACAGGTTCCATGCTTTGGGTCATGGGGCTCGGTAGTTGGATTTCGGCAGAGTACGTCGGATCGTGGAGCCTCGGCGGATGAACCTCGGCTCAAAGCAGTTCGGATGTAGTCCACCTCGGCAATGTGTGCCACCTCGGCAAGAATGCCACGTGGATCAGGATGAGTGGGCTATTGGCCCAAGTGGATAGGACAGGTGCGACAATACGCAATATAGTTCTCAATTTAAATCTTCAACCTAAAATTGAGTTTCCTTCGAATTAACAGAAACATTAATAGCATTGATAGTCAGACACGACTTTGTCATAAGAAATGCCGAATTCCATCTATTTGGAACGTGGTTAAGAAATTTTCTTTTCGTTTTTTTTTTTCTTCAGTCCAAATTTTTTGAAGATTTTTCCAAATTCTTATTGTCAAGAATTTGAGAAGTAATATGGGTAATAGCATAGTTGTCGAATCCGACCTGAACACTGATTAAAATAACGAAGCAGGTTAAAGGTTCAACCGATAACACAGTGTTTCAACCGATGGTTCACTTCCTGCAAATATATTATTAATTATTTGATGAAATTACAAAAAATGTCCATTTTGACATAGTCATTTGCAAAAATGTTCAAAATTTTTCAATGTCTATTTTTGCAATTATTTGGACGATAATATCCCTAAACAGTTTCCATGAGAAGTTACATTAAAATAATATTCTAAACGTTTCAAATATCATTTTCGATATTTGAATTCGTTTATATTTCAAAAGTACACATATCAAATCATAATATTAAATGTTATCGACATTTCAGACGCTGTTCTTGACATATTAAATGTCTAAAATGATATTTCATTCCAAACGTAATATTTTTCTACACTTTAAATGTTGTTCTCAATATTTCTATATTTAGCATTAATTGTGATTTGACATGTGTAATATGAAATTATTTATTTTTTCATCAAGGGTAAAATATAAAATTTGATATCAAATTTGCCTATTTTGCAAAGATTATCAAAAGTGGACATTTTTTAATTGACATATGTAAAATTGTACATTTTTGCAAATGCCCCTAATTATTTTTCAAAAATGCTATTTGTACATCACTTTTTTCACATTAATTTTCACACTCCTCTCACAAAGGTGGGGTTCACAATTGTTTTAATTGTGGACCCCACCCACTTGCATGTGTGTATACTCTGAAAAAAGTTGTGAAAAAAAGTGTACAAATAGAATGGTCCATTATTTTTATTGCATAGTAAATTTTTAACATTTTTACCACTAACCAAATTAAACTCAAGTTATTTTGGCGACTACCAATCAATATGTAGCCCAAATTCTAGAAATTCTAGATCATATATAGTGAAATATGACAAAAACTACTTCGTCTGACAAAGTTTAATACGATAACTTCATATACTACAAGAATATGCTTTAAAAAAATAAAACCATCATTTAATAGTTATTCATGGATAAAGCAATGTTAAAAAAGAAAATTATTTGAGATAAATTCTTCAATTCCTTCGCCTAATATTCACGATAGAACCTTGATCATACTAAATTGAAAATTTAAATTATCTTTCACTCACGGTCCCAAAACTCCGCCTGACACAGTTCATCACATTTGGATTGAAGACTGTGACAACGATTGATGTTTTACACAATGACTTCTGTTTGGTTTAAATGTTTATTTATGGACACAAAGTCAAAAAAGTTATGTATACTGAAGGTACGAAATTTCGCAAGTGTGTGGTATGGTAAACAAGTAATAAAATGATGAATGAGATATTTGTTACCACAAGGACTATAAGCTTAATCTAGTGTGAGTTATTGTTAAATTAGTCAAATAGCCAAATTTGTTTGAAGAATTTATGCTAATTAACTAATTAAATTAACTTTTTTATAAACAAGTTATGAGAGTTTTTTATTTTTTATTTTGTAAAATTAGCTTATATGATTACTAAGATAGGTGTATTCTATTGGGACTTTTGAAGACTTTGATAGTTTTTTTTTAAGTGATGATTTTTGTGGATTTCATGGATCTTTTATAGATTTGTATGGAATTAGTGGAAGTCTTTCGTAGACTTCTATGGATTTTCATTTTAAGATTTTTATAAACTTTTGTGGAATTCGAAAGACTTTTGAAAACTTTCATTTGAAATAGAATTCACGTGGATCTGGTGTGGAATTCTTACATACGAGGTGTTATTTCCTACAATATATATATAATTATGAATTTTTCATATAAAATTTTATACTTCAATAAAAAAAAAAAAGAAGACATTTTTCACACAAAAATGAATAAAAAAAGAAATTGAAAAGCTACAAGAATCCAAAATTTTTAGTAGAAAATAAAGATAAATAATACGATAGAGAAAGAAATATAAATGGAATATAATCAATAGAAAAAAAAATTTAGCCATACATGTCCATAGAAGGTTAAATTAAGGAAGAAAAGAAAGAAAGAAAGAAAGGAAGAAAACCTTTTTTTTTTTTTTTTTTACATGTGAAAGTCTCCAAAAGTTTTGTGATTAACGAGAAACAAATTTTAAGATTTTATATGAGTACTTTCTGCATAAAAGTTAGTGTTTCAGAGACTTTTATAAAAGTCTCTAAAAATCATTAAAATATGAATACCCTAAAACTTATAAAGACTTTTAAAATGTTTTAATTGAATACACAGTAACTTTTAAAGATTTCAAAGTCTATAAAAGTTTTAATTGAATACACCGTGACTTTTAAAAAGTCTCAAAAAATTTCAATTAAATACCCCTAAACTTTTTAAATTCTAGAAAGTCATTAAAAGTTTTATTTAATACACCCTCCTAAGACTTCGAATTCCATTATTGATCCAATTTAAATCAATTGATAACAACTGATTAAATGTGTGGTTGAAAAATTTATAAAATTTGTGGTTGTGGGTGCCATAAATGTTTAGTCTGAAAATATACTTTAAAAAAATGGTGGTCAAACATAGACATAATATTCATTTGAACTTTGCATGTGAATTTGTGAGTATACATGTGATCTAAAATTACATTTATTTAGGAGGGATTAACATCCTTTAAAAATTACCAATTTACATTCTTTTTTTTATTTGTTAATTCTTCACTTTGCATCTATTTACAAGACTTTAAAAAATAATAATAATAATAAAATCAGAAATCATTTACATCGCATGTTCACATGTGACTAGTATTAATAAATGCATAAAAAAATATTCAATTGAACAGAGGGCCATACATATTAATTAATCTAAGAATTTAAAATGGAACGAACATGATGCATTGACTAATCTAAGAATTTAATTGGAACATTTCACACCTTTATTTAATTTTTAATCCAACTACTCAACACATATATTTCTTCTAATTTGTTAACGTGTCTATTCAACTTTACTAATGAAAAAGACACCCTTATCAAATACTGGACAGCGCCAAAAAAAATACAATTAGTGGTGTACCCCCACAATGCTATTCTGTCAACTGATTGTAGCGCCATTTTTCTAACTTGTCCCACACGGAATGGGACGAAGAAAATGAAATATGATTCCTTCTCAGTCTCCCCAATAAAAAACACTCTCTCTCCATCTAATGTGACAAATAAATAAATAAAAATTATTGTGTAGAAGAAGATTAGGCAGACAACCCATTTTTCGAAACGCTAAAGTTTTTTACAGGTTTTCCTGTATGAGGATGCATGGCAGCAAGAAGAGGAGATACTGAGTGCTGTATGTGTGGAGATTATGGTTTTTCTTCGGAGCTCTTCCGCTGCAAAGGGTGTCAGTTCAGATCACAACACAGGCAAGTTTTATAATAAAATATGTTATTGTTTTTTGTTGAACCGTTGCTTGGATGGGTTATTTGAAATAAATTTGAAGTTTGACATATGAATATTTCTTGGCAATCATATGGATCTTGCAGATATTGTAGCAATATATATCCAGATGCTGATTCTTATGGGATCTGCAATTGGTGTCTGAGTCAAAAGGATGAAACAGCAGGAGGGAAAGAACATAAGGTTTGGAATTCTTCAGGATCAATCAAAATCAAAGGCAAAGATTATGTGAAAAACAATAAAAAGAAGAGTTTGGAGGATAACAATGGAGAAAAAACCAGAATCATTATCAAGAAACAGAAGTCCTTAGATTTATCGCTTTCATCAGGAGCAAGAAAGAGGATTACAAAAGACAATGGTAAAATTTCGCGAAGGCTAAGGAGGACAAGATCAGAGGAGATAACAAATGGTGGGATCGAGAAACATGTTACTAGAAACAAGGTGGTCAGAAGGTACAAGCATTTAGATGAAGTCAATAGCCAGTCGATCAGACGAGAAAAATTGTAAGATCCGTCTGGAAATCGGTTTGTTCACATGCTAAAAATTGTATATTAAGTCAATATGTAGGCTGCTTCAACTTGTTATGGATGAATCAGGCACGGTTCTTTCTACGGTGGTAATCGGTACCATTTTCGTGGGGATCTCAACAATTATTTACCCTCGGTTTGGATACAAAGTACAAATTGATTAATAAATTCGGTAAAAATCAAATATTAATTTCAACTACACATTCATAATTACTACTTGTTATTATGCACGTATGTCATGGGACCACTACTTTACTATTCCGTTTACTATTCGTATTCATAAATCATTTATAAATTTGCCCAACAGAAGTCCGATAATCTTTGTGATGTTTAGGAGAAATTATGTCAAATATTAATTTGAGTGGCACATACACAACTACTACCCTATTGTTATGGGTTTAATGTGGATGAACGTCAGTCCATGGGGCAAACATAAGACTCATAACCTTGCAAGACTCATGGATGAACTTCGGTCCATGGGGCGAACATAAGGCCCTTAATCACCTGTTTAATTTGTGTAAGCTTCGGCCCAAAAGATTGAGGGATCTTCATCTTTCAATTCTTTTAGTCTACATGCAACAATGGATTGAGAAAAAATAAATATAGTACAACATGTATCATGCATTAAGATGAGTTGCTACTTTCCACTTGTCATTTTTAGCAATATCTTTTCATGTTCCTTAACTTTGAAAGATGAAGAATTTCTCATATAGAGTTGTTCATCATGATCTATATATGTGACAAGTAGTTTCAGTATCCATCCAACAACCTACTAACTTATATTAAAAAATGATCGCGGAAAGATTAATGTCTATCACTTGGGCCATCGCTATTGTGCTCTCTTTTTGTTAGCAATGGAACCCCATTATACTATGTTAGCCTTTGATTCCATTGAATGAAATGCACCATTCTTCCTTTCAGATTTGTGATTATCTTTTTCTATTCTCATTTAGACAATAGAATCTTCAAGATTCATTTCCTTACGCTTATCTTTTAGATAGTTCCCGAAGTCCTTCCATAATGACAACAATTTTAAAATAAGTGAAGTAACTTGGAATGATTCAGTGAGAGATATAGCTTTAGGATGGATATCATGAAGAATCATTTGCAGTTTTGAATTTGAGATATAAGAGTTTTGCACTACAGTACATATTGTATAATGTGATATCCACTTTGTAAAGTACAAAGTTTTTGCACAAGTGTAAAGGGATCACTAGCAAGTAATAACTGCGAAGAGTTGACTATTGTCCCACGGAGAATAAATTATAATTGAAGTTTATTAGTCATGTATTGATTTGATGTTTGTATAACAAAATAGATAATGATATGTGATAATTCTAAATTATTCTAAAAAATATGTAAAAAGTGTTTGTTTGTACAAATGAATGGATGATTGTATTTGATTTAAAATCTGCCTATTTTCATCTAGTTCAATTCTTAACTATGTAATTTAATTTCATTCTTACCCTATTAACAATCGATTATTCTATTGTATTCAACTTTCTTTTTAAAGATAAGTTAATTCTGTTCTAGACACAGCTAAATTATATTCCCAGTTCGAATTCATATGAATAGAACGCAATCTATTACACAATTTTCTAAATGATAACACATTCAATAACACTATTATTGAGATAATTACGCACACAATGTACATTAATCCCCACATCTATTGGCCATGTGTTAATCATACAACGGTCTTCTTAATTATAAGCCTCCTAACACTACCTCAAACAATTAATCACCTAATTGGTGATTAAACAATAAAATAATGGAACGAACATGCAAGATTAATCATGAAATGTACTGATCTACTTGTTTTGAATGAAAATAAATGAGCAAAATGTTCATCTTCATCCAATAAATGTAAAGATCTAGCCTAGCATTATATAAGAATTATGGAAGAATATCACCCGGATCATAGAAACATATAAGAATCTTGATAGAAATCAATATCTTTGCCTTGATCTTGAATCCATGCCTTGAATCTTCTAATTCTTGTGTAAAGTATCTTGAATTTCTTGTTGGCTTGATCTTCTCTCTCAAAAAATTGCGATTTGGCCTCTCGTTGTTGATGAATTTTTTTATAAGAATATGTATTAAGAGATTAGAGAGAGATTCCCTAATGTTTTGCCCAAGATCTATATTTACAAGAGCTAGATTTAGGTCAAATAAAGCATCCAATTTGTTAACAAAAAGAGTTTCTATCAAAGAATGAAACTGAATCCCATCTTTTCAAATTTACCCCATGCACACAATGGGATATTTCCTTGCCCATACATAGGCATTATTATTTGGCTTCGAGTGCACAAAAAAGGTCATCGCATGCATGGTCCAAATTCTCTTGTGATTGGTTTCGTTTTGAGTAGTCATCACTATTTAGTTATATCTTTTTTCTTTCGATATCTAATTAAGGCAATTCAAAGTGAGTTGAAAATCTAACTCAAAATGCTACAATTATTCTAGAAATATTATTTTTTCAATTCAAACATTTACTATGCAAAAAATTGTTGACATGTGGTTGAATTCGAGTCGTTATAGCTATTGTGGCAAAATTGATCAATTGAAGATAAAAAGGTAGCTATCAAAAGACTTACGAAGACACCCAATGAAAATCGAGATGGAAGTCGAGCATGAATGCCAAATCTGTCAAGAGAAGGACTTCAATGTCAAACATCGAAAATATTAGATTTAGAAATTTTTGGATTCATATGTAAAGGTACAATGCTTTAATCTTTAGTAATGAATCATCGAAAGCTCAAGATGAATTTTTTTATGCACTAAAATATTATTTCATGAAAATACTTGCATAAAAATTATTGTTTCAAAAGGTAAGAATCTCAAAAAATGTCATTTACCTTCAAATGTGTATATTTTTCATAATAATCAAAGAAGAAAAAATTTGAGAAAAGTGTCCAAGCGGACTTCCGGTTAACCTAGCGGATTTCCAGTTCGTCCAACGGTCAAAATTCTGACTCACAATAACCAGTTCAGTGTTTGGTTCAGAAATGGACATGCGGTTGAGCACTTCGGTTGGACAGAACTTTTTAGTGATTTTAACTGCTATAAATACTACCTCGTTTTCATTCATTACAAGACTTTCATGAGCATTAAAGTGAGATACTCTCAAGAAAAATTATTACATTCTTTGTTATCTTCATCAAATCAAATCATTCATTTTGATAAACTTTTGGAATTCATTCTTCTCATTAAAGTTTTTCTTACTTAACACTTGAGCTTCTTTCATTGCTATTTATTAAAGTGTTAGCATACTTCTCTCTTAGTACTTAATTTTGATTATATCATTTATTAAAGGAGAAGTTCAAATTGTAAATTCAATTACTCTTTGAGTTTATTGGTCATGTAGAGGTCCTGTAGAGTTCTATATTGTAAAAGGATCGATGTTCCGTGGTTGTAAGTCACCGGAAGCATTGTAAATGGTTGGATTATACTATAAGTTAATCAATATAGTGAAAAACGTCTTGCTTGTAACTAGAAGCTCGGTAATGGAGGATGTAGATCATTGGTTGGGATCGAACCTCCACAATTACATCATTTGTACATTCTCTTCCCTTTTATTTATTGCTTTCATATTTGTGCATATTTGCTATTAAACTTGTTAAAATTTAGACTTATTTTTGGAAAAAAAAATAATAACCAATTCAGCTTCTCTTGGTTACCTATTCTTGGGTTATCAATTAGTATTAGATCCAGGTGCTCATTTTCAAAGATTTCACAATCTTAAGTAATTGCTTATCTAAATATTCAAAATCTTGAAGGGCGTTCTACAAATCATCCTCCCTTTTTTGATAGCACTTATTATAATTATTGGAAAATTAGGATGATGATTTACATTCAATCAATAGATTTCAATATTTGGGAAGTTATTTTAATATGGTCCCTATGTGCCTATGAGAACTATTAAAGCTGATGGCAAACCCGATCAAACTATTCCTAAACCTAAAGAGGAATATGTTGAAGAATATAAAAGAAAATTATCCTTAAATGCTAGAGCCAAAAACCTACTGTATTGTGCACTATATAGAAATGAATTTAATCGTATTAGCACATGTGATTTTGCATATGATATTTATCATAGATTAGAATATACTAATGCTGGTGCTAGTAAAGTAAAGGAAACCAAAATTAATCTCTTGGTTAAAGAATTTGAAAATTTCTTTATGAAACAAGATGAACCTATAATAGATATGATTACTCGCTTTATTGATATTGTTAATTGCCTTAAAGGTTTTGATTACAAATTTACTAACGGTGAACTTGTAAGTAAAATGCTTAGGTCATTATCGGAAGAATGGAGCCCATTAACGATGATGATAAAAAGTACCAAGGATATTAACTCATATCCTTTGGAAGAATAATATGGAACATTGACGACATACGAGTTCAACAATGCCAAAACCAAGGAGAAAACAAGGAAAAGCAAAGAAAAATTAAAGGAATCTTCTAAGAGCCAAATTGCCCTTAAATCAACAATTGAAGAATGGACTACAAGTGAAAATATGAATGATGAAGAGCTTGATGATATAGTCCTTCTTGTCAAGAAATTGAGAGGTTTTCGAAATAATCGAAGATTTCGATAGAAAGAAGAAAAGAGTGAAGAAAAAAGAGTAAGAAAATTATTTGCTATGATTATGATAAACCCGGCCAATAGAGAACTGAGTGCCTAAGCATGAAGAAGAAAATCAAGAAAAAAGTACTCCAGGCCACGTGGGATGAGAGGCATGATGATGATCGCGATGGAAATGATAGTCAAGAAGAAATTGCCAGCATGTACTTCATGGCGGTCAAAGATGAGGTAAATTCTATTAAAAAGTGCACATATGATGAGTTATCTACCTTCTATGATGAAATATTGAAGAATTTGAGGAGCTTGCTTTTAAATCACTCAACTTTTGAAAAGGAATACTACTTGTTGAAAAATAAAATGAAGAAAATTTTAGAAACCCGAAAAGAAAATACTGATTATGATTTATTAATTAAAGAAAACTTCTCCTAGAAAGAAAAGGTTGAAGACTTAACTAAGATTATTTATAAATTCACTAATGGTAAAAATAATTTTGATTTAATGCTTGGTGATCAAA